GGAAACAACAATGACAGAATTCACTTCTAGCTCAACATAAAAACCTCTGAGACAACGGGTTATTCTCTTGGTAAAAATAAAAAACGCTTCTACTGGTTTCTGAAGTTCACTTCTGGGAAGAGTTCCTCCTCCTCTTTAATCTGAACCTACTCTTGCTGCAGAGAACACTGCCATGTGGCTATTCCGACTGAAATAAAGTTGAAAACATGCACTGTCCAAACAAATTAGGCCAATACCATTTAGAGGAAAAAAACTGTTCTGCACTCATAGGCAAAAATCCAGCAGAACAGATCTAGTTTTGCACAGTTAAGTGATTGTTTTGAGTTTGTTCAGGTTTTGATGCCAACCCCACTGTTGGTACCAACTTCCAGTGGGGCTTAAATACATACACAGAAGTAAGGAAAACTCATCACTTGCACACAGCACTTCGTTCTCTGTATATGAACTCCCTGTTACCTCCTGGAATGCTGAACTGGAAGATCTGCCAGCCAGATCAGCTTTTCTATCAGTTTCTTCTTGCACACAGGCTCTATTTCATATCAGTATAAGTAATTTTTTTCAGAGTTTTCAAAATAGGTAGACTGAAATTACTCAAAATCCTCAATCTTCAAAAAGGCATCCCAAAAATCCCCCAAATAACCATTAATGTTGTAAACGCCATAACAAGGTATGAAAATAAGCCACCATTTTCTATTCATCTCTTTATAGATTCAATCTGGTCAAACAATTTAATCTTTTTCTGAGGCATACAAAGACCAATAATGTTTGATAAAACTGTGCCTGCCTTTCAGATGGAAACATGAACTTGGGGTAGGTTTAATGGTTCTATAAAGAAAAATACTTTGAAAGGATTTTAAGCTGCAGTGAAGCTACATCAAACTGTATCTTCACTGCAGCTGAACAGCAATACCTTCTGCAGATTATCAACCATGTACAACTCCAGATTTTTCCCTTATTTTCTGCTGCTGGGTACCAGAATGTCCTTGTTGGAGTGATAGGACTCTGAAGCTACTGAAGAAAAGGTGATTCCTTTTACAGAATTGTGTGGGATGGCATTATAGCTTGGGAACACATGGAAAAGAAAACACTCAAGAGTCCTCTCATCTGAATGGGACTTTACAACTTCTTAAGGGAAAGAGCAGAAGCACCAGTTAGAGGAATCACTGTCCAAAACTCTTAACACTGGGCAAAAAAGAAGCCTGAGAACCATACAAAAAAAAAAAAAAATGGGAGCTTCCCAACATCTTCTAACCTTCCACAGGCTTTGACAGCTGTACTGGGACATGGGGAATGCATCTCAGCAAGAGACTCTCTAACAACTCATCGACAGAAACACAGCTTCAAGCCCCTGCCAGCCACAAAGAACAGGAAGGTTTCATCTCCTTCACCTGGAAAAGATGAGCTCCCACAGCTCAGGAGAGCGTTAGGCACGAGCACGTCTCCAATGAAGTGCTCATTCCTATGGAAGCACTGACCATCTGCTGAGCTTTGCTAATGCTTATCACATCCAACAATCTTAAAAAAACACCTCTAACAAGATGTTCTAGATGGTCTGAACATAATTTCTGGACTTAATGGACTTGACAAAAAAACATGATACAACACAAAAGGGCAATTCATTACTGCTGGAAATGACTGTGACAAGATGATCTATTCCTCTACTCCCATCGAGCAATAATTGTTCAAAGACAAATCCTTTCCTCTTTAAAGCTGTCTTCCCTAAGAAACTTCAACCCAGTCCAATAAAAATTCTCCTTGTAGCATCTTCCAAGAAAACAGAGCCACAATGCCACAATTGCAAGCAAAATTGTTACAGTAAAGGATGCTGGCAAGGAAGGGAGCAGATAGATACACAGTATCACAGAAAAGAAGTTTCCTCAGAGGTTTCCAGGTATCTCAGCAAGTCAAAATCACCAATCTTTGGGAGAATCTTGTGAAATCTATGATATCTTTGCTCACATTTCTATAGATTGAGGAAGTATTCTACTTTAATCTCTCCCTGCCAATGGAATGTTCTTTTGTCTCAATATCAGCACCCTCTTGACCTCTAGCACTGGGAATTAGTTAATTTCCAGTCCTCCTTGAACAGGTTAGGAGTAAGGTTTATCCCCACCTTTGGCTCATGCAAGCACAGAACATGAACTTCAGTCATTCTGCTCATTTCTGCCTTAAAATAGCAAGTCCAGGCCAAAATTAACAATCATGGCTGATGATGATCAAGATGAAATGAATCCTCACAATTTCTGAGATCAGGTGAAGGGATCAGATACTGGATATTTTTCCTTCTTTTTCTCTTAATAGAAAGAATGCTTATATAAACACATCACAAGAAATAAAACCAGAAAAAGGAATGGATTGATTAGTCACATACTAAAAAAGGATTAGAACCAACCACCACAGAAGCAAGGTCTTGCCCAACAAAACTGGCCCCAAACCATAAAGGGTCATGAGTTCCCCACAGTGCATATAAACACACTGAGCTGAGAAAAATGGGCTACTGAGCTGTACTTGAACAAGGTTAGTCAGAGATGCACATCACTTATTTTTAATGTAATTAGAAGATACTGCTTTAAAATGTTATTTTAGGTATTTTTTCTGCATTTGTATTTCACAGCTCCTTCCTTCCCTTAGGATACTGCTACAGTCATCAGCTAGAGAATTTCCTTCCAGCCTTGATACAGTTCTTCAAGCAGGATGGCAGCTACATTTTAAACCTTTGAGTCAAGTTGGGCACTTTCACTATTAGGTAGATCAGCTGCCTCACCACTTTTATTACAGCTCTTTAAATGTTTTAAGCTGTACACATTAAGTGGTAAACACCAGGGATTCGGGAGGCAAAAAAACAAACTAACCCACATTTTCCTTCAACAGAAATTTCAGTTTCAGAAGAACAGACAGACAAACTCACTGAAGTGTTTCTTTACTTTTCTTAAAAGCTTTCCTGGAGCATCAATAAGAAAAAGCTAACACACAATCATAGCTGATAATCCTATTAGGAAAATAAACTGGGGGATGGGGAGAGACTGGAAAAGGATACCAATCCTCAAATGGCCACTAAGGAAAATGGCAAATATAGAGAATACTGCTGCTTGGCACAAGAAAATTCAGGAAGCAAGTATGTGCTCCAAAATGGAAACACAAAATCTTTGTGTAAAACACTGAGCTCACCTGCTCTCTTTACTAAGAGAAAAATAAGATGTATATAAAGTAATTTTTTTTTAAAGAAACACAATGCTTTTAAGCTTATCTTATTCAACAAGATATGGAGCCCTGGAAAACACCAGTTTTCCTGTTTTACTTGGCCAAGTTTTTAAAATTATTTTCTTTTAAGTGCACCTTCAAAGAAGCACCATTTTATCACTTACACTCTGTCATAAAACAGTCCTTTCACTATTCTTTTCCAATGCATTCCTTGCTCAAACCAACTTTACTTTTCTTCTTGCATGTCTGTAAACTGAGGCAGCCTGGGTCCCTTTCCCAGGCTGGTGAATCCATTTAGGCTAAAGCCTGAAGTTCTTGAAATCAGGAATTTATCTGAGATCTGGCCTGTTCTTTACCAGAGGTGGGTTTGTTTAAAATGAATCAAGACCTCACAGAACCTCCCCCAGCAGGCTCACACAGACTCTGTCAGCAAGTCCTTTGCTTTGGGGTAATTCTACTTCAGTTGGTTCACATAGAAAAATCAGTAGTTTCATGTAAAACTGAGTATTGACTAGGAAAAATCTACTCCCAAAAACTTAGGTATCTGTAAGTTCACAGAAATAAGCCAGATAAATAGAATTCCTTGCTGTTCCCATAAATTTCAAAGGAAAACAAAAGAAAGATAAGTTGACTCTCTTTCAGTGCAGACCAATCAGCTTCCACAAAACAAAATTAGCTGTCTCCAGCCTCCAAAACAGTTATGCCAACTTTCAGATGCTCTGACCTTCACTCATAACACGAGTATTTCTTCTTTAAGTAGAAGCATCTCTTCACTGCAGAGAGAATGCTTTTTATGCTTTTTATTTAAAAAAATTAAAATTAACTATACAGCACTCCACAATGATGTGAGCACCTCTTCAGAGTACAGGACACACACTTTCATGTCAGACAATGCAATTTTTCCACAATTACTAACATATCAATGAATTAACATTTACATGTGAATAAACTACAGTGACAACAGCTACCGATGTATGAATAGATAAAATATCAGAGATCAAAATTGACCTTTTTCTACATATCAGAACATGGTGGGTTTGCCATCAAAATTTCATGAAGGAACTGTACCAAAACAACCCAGACAAGAGATAAGGCACATGGCAGGAGGAGCAGCAGTTGAAACACTGCTCTAAGCTCACACCTGGAAAACAAAAAACTAAAAAGCAGTAACTGGATCAAACAGGGAACCAGAGCAGTGCCCCCTGACAGAGGCAGGTACTTGCAGGTATATATTCCCTGCCCTGATCCGCAGTGGCCACCAAATTAGGCTCTTGCCCTTCCCTTTCACAGATTGCATTAGCTTGGCAATCTATGTGAAATTTGATGTTTCCAGATCAGTTCCTCCATATTTAAAAAACATGCACTGCATGGCTGCTGACAATGGTCCTTGACAAGAAGAGCAATTGCTACACCTTTCCCTTCAATCTCCAAGTGTTCACATTGCTTTAGAAGATGGCGTTGTCTGGCAGCTAAATTGAGATCCTGCACATGAGAAATCATCTGCTTCCTTTCTGCAAGATCATGCTACTCTTTTCTAATTCACCCTACTAAGATACTCTCCAACTTCTAGCTTCGAGGATGTCTTTTTCAACAAGTGCTTTCATTTTTCATTACATGAGAAGTACTGCTTCAATTATCTCCTTTTCACACTATCACTGGTGACTGAAATAGGTAACTACAGACTCAAGAAAGTACATCCTTTAGTTCTGTCCCAGAAAAGGATCTACTGCGTTTCCTAAACACCTGTATGGAGAAAAGCAAGTGCAATAAATAGAATACAGTAAATGGCATGTACATACTTTAGTAATTGCTCCTGTCTGTGCTGTGTTCAGCCCGGTGTGCCCAGCCATCTGTGGAGATACTTGGGTTAAAGTCTCTGCCAGCACACTGCCTGCATTCCCCTGCATGGCAGGGGCAGAATATTGCATTCCTGCTCCCCTTCCTCTTCCAGCTGCCCCAAGAGATCCATTCATTACCTGCCCTTGTCCTTGCTGAGGCTGATTCATTAAACTGTGACCAGAATTACTGTTGAGAAGGCTCTGGTGTGTCTGACTGAAATTAGTATTCATACATATCCCAGGTCCAGTCTGTGATGTTGCAGGGCTGCTCGTCACCATTCCCACTTGTTTTTGTGCTTGAGAGTTCAGAGTTTGGGATGCAGGTGTGGTAGGTCCAGAGGTGCTGGCTGCTTGCTTGGCCAGGCCTGGAGCAGAGGAGTCTCCCGGGTTCAGAGGGCTCTTACCCATCGCACCCAGATTCCCGATGTTTGCGCTGTTCGGCTGCCCTTGGACCTGACCACCAACTCCCTGCTGCACGGGGCTGCTCGAGTTCACATTGCCAATTCCTGGGTTTAAGGAAGAGCCGCTGCTTCCCCTCAGAAGTTCAGAAAGTTGTTTGTGTTTGGAAGCTGCATCTGGAACGAGGTTCCCACTGCTGTTTAAAAGGCCCAACTCGCCATTGGGGATCAGCTCATCAGGAAGATCGTTTTCCAAGTCAAACAAAGATCCGAAATCTACAAGTTAAAACAGAAACGTGGGTGAGAAAACATAACAAATGAGTAGCTAAAATCTTTTCTACTTTGTACCAGTGTTAACAATGATAGGCATTCAGGATGTCTCTGCCCAAGACCAAGAAGTGAGTGAGGGTCCCTGTGATATGAACTCCAGAGCCTTTCAGAGCACAGTCATCACACACTGTGCACACACAACCATGCAGGCTACAGCACTGGCAAATAAACAGGTTTTCTGGCAGGAATTTTGGCAAAACAAAGCTTAAGAAAACTAAAGTGGCATGAATACAATGATCTAATCTAACGTTCAAATTTGCCTTGTTTTGGCTAAAAGATGAAGGCAGAAATAACAACAGATTTTTTTTTCCTATTGATTTACTCTCCCAAAAGAGCAATTACATCACCTTTTCCAACCTCCTCTGTAATCCCAAGCCACCACATTTCACCCAGCAATTCTATCTCAACCCTGTCATTTATGTGTGCACATGACCAGAGAACATCTTCCAGCACTGCTTCAAAACTTCCCCAAAGAACAGTGATTTCCTCAGCAGTTTGGTCCCAGTCTCACATATAAAGACATTTAGGATCAGTATCTACTTATTGATTTGCACCATGATCTTCTACCTCAGAAGATCCCGAAAGGCACTCAGCATTTTCTCCTTGTAATGCCTCTTGAATCGAGTCACTGCTCGATTCCTGAACAGCTCAAATAATTCAAATTGCTCTGTAAGTGCCCAGCCCTCATTTATCATGCCCAATATTGACAGAGGTAATCCACACACTCTCCAGATGAGCAAAATAAATCAATCAAATCTTCATTAAGCCACTTGAAGGAACAGCTCTGCCTGGCTGCAACATCCAGACTAATAAAAAAGTGGTGGGTTTTTTTTTTTTTTTTTCCCCTTTTAAAGGACCAATTCAGGTTCACTAAAATATTTTATTGCACATCATAAGCAGCATCAGTGTAACAAGATTATTTTAGTATGTAACTAAAAACCAGACTGTTAATTCACTCTGTATAGGTACTTCCACATGAAAATAAAAGTTACATATTTGAAGACTTAAGGACAGGCACATACATTAATATCTATAAACATCTAGGCAGACCAGCCTCAATGCACCAGAGTAGCTGTTCAAACATGCAACACATCTTGGAAAAGTTTTCCAGTCCAAGGATGTGAACAATCATCTCTCAATGTAACATAAACGTGTGAAAACTTCATTTTGTCCCCCAAGGCAGCCCTGACAAACCTCAGTCCTTCACACTGAGCAACAAACCTCATTTTTTCCAGGTTAGAGCAAGCAAGAGCTCTTTACTAAAGAAGGACATTCCAAAAGCTTATTGTTTTAAAGTTTAATTCGCACTTCAAGCACAAAAAGTTGGTGCAAGACCCAGGCTGCAAAAATGATGTAAGATGGTACATTGGAAAGAAACAACAAACCTCAAGCAACACATAAACTGTTTCACAAAGCACAGATGCATCACCAAGCCATCTCAGTACATTTTAATATCATGTATTTCATCAGCATGTGCATTTCCAATTCAACCTAACTGAAGAAAAATTAATAGAAATGGCCAGATCTGCACTGACTAGTGAATTACACCAACAGGCATGGTAAACAAAGACAAAAACATTAAATTCTGGCTGGTTTGAGGCACTCAAAACACCACCTCCTTCAGGGAATCACACCCTGCCATCATCACCTATTGGAGTCAATAATCCTTCCAGGACTTCACAATGTCTGCCATGACAAATACACCCTACTCTAAACAGAGCCCCTGATCCCTTCTAAGCAGGCAAGGAAAAGCTAACATTTCATTCAGCAAGATTCATTCAAGTATTTTTAATTTCCCTTACTTGCTGCCTTTCCTTTCAGGTCTTGAGCTTATCTTTCTTGCTTGTCTTCTAGAAAAATTCCTGGTGTACCTTTGACTCCATGATCGCTTCATCTCTCCTCCTCTTTCCCACACAACCACTCCACACTGACCATGCTGCACTCTGCCACTTCTTTTTAGCTCAACTTTCCCTCTTCCAAGATTTCCCTGTTTCAGCCTGGAATGCTGGGAAGCTCTGGGAGGCTCTGCCACTGGCAGCAGCTGGAGCCTGACCAAAGCCATCTGCCTGCACATCACCGAGGGTGGGACAGAGGGCCAGGGCTGAGGCTTTGTTAAAACTGCTCTCAGCACCCCAGCTCTCCCCAAGTTCAAAGTTTACAGTGTTTGTTCACACAACTTCTGTAAATCCCACAGAAAGGTGTTCTTCCAAGCTTTTTGCACCAAAATTGTTAATATTTCATGGACAATATGTGGGGTTCAGGGACAGGGGCACAGAAGAAGAGACAGACTATGAAGGGGGAAGATGTTGCTGTGGCTTAAAGAGTAGTTTTTTCCAGCTGTATTTCAAAATGGGATGCTGGAGTATAAATGCTCAATTTGTTTTTTTTTGCTTGGCTGGCTGGACTCTCTCAGTCTTGCCAGAGCCAAGAACTGGAAATGTTTTTGCAGTTTACAAAAAAAAGAGTGAAGAAAGCATTTGGGAACACTGCCACTTTAAACCTGAAATAATCTACCACTCCTAAGCTCCTGTAAGAAGGCTGTACATTAAGGTTAGACATGGAAAATGTACAGCTCTGCCAGCAGGAAAATAAAAAGCAGGTAAACAACTTAACACAATGGTCCTGTAAAAATTCACCAAGAATTCAATTGTTCATACAATGATTAATCATCTTTTACATTTCATCAGAGTCATGCACATCAAAAACAGCAACACAAGGCACATTTTACAACGGTTATAAAATACAACAGAAAACAAAAATCTACTTGAGCATGTCTGCAACAAATCCATAAAGATAAGAGATTGTCTTGGCAGTTATAAAAAGAATAAATATATTTACACACATATAAAAATCTGCCATAATATGAACATGGCCCATTTCTACTGACAGAGAAATGAAAAGCAACTGCAGTCCCTCCATCCTCACAAGAAGAACAGAATTGATCCCATTCTCAATGCTTCAGCTGTTTCTCAAAGGCAGCTACCAAGAGGCTAAAAACTGAGGGATGCTTTTGCGTGCAGTTACCTGAAGCAATGGTCAGGGAACACCTGTGCTGAGAAGTCCCACCGAGCTTTAACCTGCTCCATCCTCAAACCTGCCACACACCCAGCACACATCAGAGCAGGAAAAGTGGTCTGGATTTTAAAGGAGAAGAGATTCCCAAAACCCATCCAGCACATACCTTTAATTCAGTGCTCAGGAAGCAGCGGAGCTGACTAAGGCTGCGGAGATTCACCTCGCTGTGTCTTGTCTCTAACACGGCACTTCTGATCCTAAACCTCACACCTTTCATTACCTCTGTCACATAAACCCAAACGTCCTCTTAACAGCAGAACACCAAAAAACCAGAGATTACGTTTTCTGGAAGGCATGGAAAAGCACTAGGCAAGAACCACACCCCCACTCTTTCCAATGGGCTCTTTTTCCAATTTGAGCATTCTGCATTCTTTGAGCAGCTATTTTCACACATAGAAGATAACCACACTTGTGACACTTTCTCTCCTAATTTCAGTCTTATGAGCTTAAATGTCACAGTTTTCTGCCTTCCTGGACAACATTTTCAGCAACCAGAATTTGAAAAAAAAGATGTTCTGTTTCCTTCTATGGCTTCTCAGAAGAAAAAAACCCCAAAACTGTGCTGCATGCTGAAGGCAGGACATTCTCATCTGTACAACTGCTTGTGACTGTTACCGGAAGACTTTCCTAATATACATATCCAATCAATTAACTTGTTTTAATGTCACCATTTTTCCCCCTTTAGCTCAGCCTGGAGAGGTGACAAACATCCTAAGGTGTTTCATTATGTGACTTATTATCTCAAATGTATCTCTCAGCAAGCAGAAGGAGAACTATCAAATTCAGTTTAATTTTTTACAGCATAATCTTTGCTTGAGACGTGACTGGGAGTTTTCCTGTCACAAACTGACTGCTCGTGGCACAGAGCAGACACTGAAGTCCAGCACACAAGCAGTATTTTCACCGTGCCTTTCTTTCATGCCAACATAGCTGTTACATTTCAGTGAGCCCAATTTTGTTTTGTAAGGCTTCTTTCAATCATGCCAGACCCCAGCAGACAAAGCCTCAACAGTTCAGAGCTCCAGCCATTCCCTAAAATTCACTGTCAGGTAGCTCCCCTCAATAGCCACACTGTGTGGCACAGTAAGCAATTACCATGTCCATCCCAACCTCCTTTCGAGGTTTGAGGATTCTGTAATTTATTGTTTCACAAAAGACAATTATTGCATTTAACATTTTAGAACAATTAAACAATGTGTTCATGGAAAATTAAAAATTTCCAGTAAGGAAACTTTAGATTTGTGATTTTCCCTAAAAAGACACTGAAAGCTTGGGAACTGACATGCATCTGACCTTGGCTTTCAGCAGAGCAGCATCACTTCCTCCAAACACCATGTTTAACAACCAAGTTGAGAATGATGGTGATGAGGGACCTGATGGCTGGGTGGAGGGTGATGAGAAGGAAAGAGAGATCCAATACCAAAGATCTGGATGAGTCTCAACAATTTATGGCTTCAATAAGAGATCTGAATATTTAATTAAATTTCTACCTGCCTGATCGTTTAAACTACTTTCATTTGAGATGAGAAAGGAATACAGTCTGGGTCGCTTGTTCCTAAGTCACTGGACTTGTCAAAACTCAAATATGTTGATATGAACCTCACCTTTTGGAATCCCTGGGACTTATCTCTAGAACATTCATTGGAACCATCATCACAGCTCTCTCTTGTTGACAGGCCCACAGTCACCCAGGTTGGAAGGGACATCAGGACTGTCTGCAGCCCAGCCCTCCACCTCCTCTCAAAGGGCTCATGCTCCAGCCCCCAATCTCCTGAGCAGCGCTTCACTGAATTCATTCCAGCTCCTCCATGACCTTCCCAGTGATGGATAGGAGGCTGAACAGTCTGCAGCTGACTGTATTGTCTTTTAACCCTTTTTGAAAATGGGTTTGACACTTGCCTTCTCTTGTTTTCCTGTGGCTCGGATTTTAGAGACAGCTCCTCATATCTCCCCCAATCCATTTTGGGAACACTTCAACAACTAAGTGAAGCTTGTTACACAAACAAATAATGAAACAAATAATGGAAAAAAAAAATCAGTTCTCTTCTAACCTCTAGTGCAATACTACCTGTATTCCTGATTCACCTCCTGACACCAGCTCCACCAGCAGACACAAGAGCCAGGATGGGAAAATGCACATATCCACATCCTTTATACCACCACTAAGGTGTGATTACAAGTACCACCTGATACAGGAAAAGCCACCTGTTCTGTCCCTGTGCTCCTCCTCACCTCCATGAAAGGAGTAGTATAAACTGAGATTCTTCCTTGATCACACCAGGCTTACTCCCCAGCCTCTCCTTCCATGT